TTTTAACACAGTGTCGCCTGAAAGAACGGATTTGGGCAGAGGCGACTGTAAAGACACAGAGACACAATAGGCCATGATTGAGTAATCAGCTCACTTGTGATGCTGGAAACAGTGTGGTTCATTTGGATATCCAGTTATCACACAGAATTTTAAAAACTTAACAAACTGAGCTGAAAATTATAGTGGGTCCATTTCAGTAGAGGCTATTTTCTCTTGTGAGCTGTGACACCAGTGCTTTTGGATTCCGATGCTGGGGTTCTTATTATATAAAGAACTGTCAGGAACATCATTTTCTATGTAGGTGAAGATATTAAAAAGCTGAAGTTCATCACGATGTCATGGAAATAAATGTGTCTGACGTTCCGGTGCACCCCAGCTTGGACAGCCCCCATGCCTATAATAGTCAGACCTATCGTAAATTAATAAGGATGGGACAGAAGGTTCTGGATAAGTGGATCTTTGAAAAAAAATCTCTTGTCTACATCTGACACTGTTCAGGAATCCAAATCATCTGGGAGTGAACTGGTTGCATTTTAGTGGAAACTAAAGCCCAAAGAAACAAATGAAGCTCATGTCTCTTCCTCCATGTTCTTCTAGTCCAACTCAGGAGCACAGAGTCCCAAAGTCAATCTCCTTCAAGCCATGTAGAGGCAAGCACCCTATTCCTCTGTGCTCCTACCTGCTTGTCAACCCTATACCTCCATAAGAAACATATGGGAAGAGTTCCTTGGCTATGCCCCATGATTTCCCAGGGAATACTTCTGTAATTTTCATTTATAAACCTCATCCACCAGATCTGGTGACTTTCAATTATGCACCATTTATATAAAACAGGCAAAACAAGAAAGATAAAGTTAAGAAAGGAAACAGGCTTTTTTGAAAGATATTAATGTAAACAAAATTCATGAAAGTTTTCTCCCCAAACACTGCAACTGATCTTCTCAGAGTTTAGGTTTCTTTGATCAGCAATCACTAAATCTCAAATGTTAAATGTCGATGAAGAAAACTTAGAAATAACCGAGCTAGAAAACTTGAAAAGAAAACAGACACACTTTAGAACAAAAGTAAAATATGTAGAAATATACTAGAATAGATAAAAATGCTAACATACTAAGAATCAGTTGAGAACACTTACTGAGAATATCCGGGAAAGATATTTTGACTCCTCTAGGCAAAGATGCCATAGTCCCTAATCTCAAGAAATTTCTTTTTTTTTTTCCCATGGAATTTCATAGACGTAAGTCTCTGGACCACGGCAAACAAATGCAATTATTAAGTGATTTAAGGGTATATATTTCCAAGTTACAGAAGTTTGAGAAATTCAAAATGTTTAATGGTTCAATGGCAGGGAAGCAGTTGGGCTAATGTGGAAAAATCGTGAAGATGAAGGAGATCTGACAAAAACGCTAAAGGAAAGGAAGTAAATGTGATGAAAACGAGAAGGGTGGTTCGGAGGGGAGAGAGTAGGGAAGTGTGTGACTGGCAAGGCCCTGGCAAGCACAAGCTGACATTCCAATCAGACTAACCTCTCTGCCCTTGTCCAGGTCACCTCCGTGCCAGCCCAGGTGCGTAAGGAGACTGTGGCTCCCCACCAAGCCTGCACACTGGCTTTGGGGTCCACAGCAACCCAGAGAATGGGGCACCTTTTTCTAATTGGCCGGCCCAGAGGAGGCACCATCTGAAATTTGTCTGTCTGGAGTGGGCTCCGTTTTGTGCCCGAAGATCTAGCATGTGATAGAGGCAGCCTAGGATGACAGCCCAGGCATCCAGGGCTGACTGTTACCAATGACTCTCCGCTAGTTTCCTCCGTCTCAAATTTCCCTTTTTGATTCTGCATCAACGATTTTACCTCTTTGAATACCATTTTGCCATTTGGTTAAGAATCAATTGTGGCTTGGGGTGCCTGGGTGGCTCAATGGGTTAAAGAATCAATCGTGGCTTTCATTGCTCTTCTGTGAGATCCAGAAGTGCACCGAGTCATCACCTCATTGAACCTCCCACCTTTTATATTAACCCAGAACTCCAAATCCCTGTCCCGACCTAGTCATTGGATTGTAGTCACCCACACACAACTTCCTCATCCCTCCAACCCCCCTCCCCGTGCACACTTTGTGCTACCTCTCCAACTCTTTTTCCTCCACTTTGATCATCACTCAGAACTTGGTGGTTCAGCTGAGTGGCCTCATCGGTGGCAGAAGACCGGACAAGAACGTGAGTAATGATACTGCTCGGCAGTGGTGACCAGAAGTTTGTTCACGACTAGTCTCCTCCGGAAACTGAGAGAGCAGATTTCATTTCTTTTTATAACCAGTTAGCTCAGCTGCAACAATGGTGGTCTCACCATTACTTAGCTCCTATCAAAAGGCTTCCCAAATTCTTTTGGTGGAAACTAAGATGCTTTTCTCATGACTAATGACAATCTAGAGGACATGAAGGGCCCCAAACCATCTTGGTCACTGTCAGTGTATTCACGTTCCCCCCTGTTCCTTGCCCCCGTTGGCTAGACAAGTTCAAATTCAGAATAGTCGGTCTGGAGCTATTTCAAACTGCTTCCCAGGTCCTGAGTGTAAAGGACAGGAGACAAATATTCTTCACTCGGCAAAGATAGCCAATAGGAAACTTTGGTTCAAGCCATGCTTCTGCCACTCTCTCTCTCTGTTCAAAATATGTCAAGAACTAGATATAGGGGACACTGATTGGCATTGTGTCATCTCTTGGGTGACCTCCAGTACCTGGTACTCGTCTGAAGATGAACACAAGCGTAGGGAAGAGCCCTGTGTGTGTGTGTGTGTGTGTGCACGCACGTGTGCGTGTGTAGAATATGACAGTCATGAAAATCTCTCCTTTGGATCCTATAAAAGAAGTTGATTGGAGGCAACAAAAGGATGCAGAGCAGTTTATAAAATTTGTGTCACAATCACCTCTCCCTTGACAGTCGAAATAAATTAAACCTGCTCCACATCTTATACCTGTCTCTCTGCTTTAATCCCTACATTGATTTTTGACCAAACAGCCTCAAGACTTGAAATAATCAAATCACATCAGAGCAAATGTAAGTGATCCATTTCTGCTTTCCATCTGGTTTTTTTTTTCAATCTTTACTTACATTTACTTTAAAAAGGAATTAAACCAAAACATAAAGTCAACAGCTGGGCATTTTCCATCCATTATAACTTTTTACTAATAAGCCCTGTTGATATTCTTTTAACCTGACAAATTTAAATATCTAAAAGCCATTTTGCAAGTGATTAAAACACACAGACACTAACAATACTCACCATTACATTCAGTCACCTGCAGATCGTTTATAGTTTATGTTAATCATTTTGTGTAAGAAATTTAGGCACGTCTGCACAAGTGAAAGACATTTTTATTAATTATGTATAGTTAAGTAACTATAATATATTGAATATACAGTTACATATAAATATATAGTTAAATAACTACACCTTCTAACAATTTACCTCTGTTTTTCTAAGGTTTGTTTATAATTACTTTTTCAACATATAATGTAAAAGATCTTACTTTCTATTTGAAAAAGATTCTTTGTATTTTTCTGAATAGAAATTTTCCTTGCCTTGGTCTCTGAGAGAAAATTAATGACCTTTTTTTTTTCCTGGCCACATTTAGAAAATATTTCTGTAATGCAAGGTTTTTGTTTTTATTTTTAAGGTACAAAATATTTTATATATACGTCTGAAGGAATGGAGTCAACACTTAAAATGAAGAAACTCTGTTAATTTGTTTCTCCCCCACAGAGTCCATTACCCCTTTCTTCTACATCAAGTTCTTCGAACAGTTTAGGTCTCACCTACAACCCGCACCGCCATAAGAGAAACAGAAGGCTGGATGGGGTCTGAGGGAATTATGCATAAGGAAGTGCTGTCCTTTGCCAGTCTTCTTAGCTCACAGCTGCTGCACGTGCAAACCGGTACCTTTCCAAGCAGGAACAGACATCGGTCTACAGTGTGAGCAGAGTCTACAAAGGTACGGCCTAATCCCAAGAAACCTGGGCTCTAGAAGTCTACCCACCAGCCATAGCCCGCTGCTGGCTGGAAGCACATAAAAGAATGAAAGAGAGAGAGAGAGAGCATGGTGGGTGGAAGGAAGGAAAGAAGGAAGGAAGGAAGGAAGAAGAAAGTTAATACAATTTCTATAAACAGCAAAAATGATTTCTTGGACAATGTTCATCTGCTGTGCGAAAACTTGCCCAGAGGCAGAACCGGGAGAGCCTGAGACCACTTTCCTCTCCCCGGAACCCGATGCAGACCCCACCACACACTTCTCTCGGGGCCTCTCTGCACTTGCACTTCGGGAAGTGAAGTTTCTTTTTCTTACTCTCACGCAGGTTCCATGGGGCCAGCAGCTTTCACGATCAGGGCTTCATCATGACACAGGGAACAAATTACTAATACAAAATCAGTGCTGGGCCCTGGGGGGAGCCTGCTCCGTTGAAGGGCCCAGAAAGCCAGTCTGCTTCTGCTCTGAGAGCCGAAAACAACGGGAGGAATCAAAGCCCTGAGCCGGCCAAGGAGGAACATTATCAGATATTTATTAAATTCTACTCAACTCAACACTGACTCAGCAAATACCAGTCCAGCACCATTTTATTGCTGCTGAGGATTCACAAGGATTCTAGAACTTAGACACCACCATCACGAAGCTGTCACATAGCTGAAAACAAATAGAAGTTATATAGCTGAACCTCCCAGCTTTTGAGACCATGTATTTTTTTAGAATTACCAATTTTTTTTTTTTAATTTCAGGAATGTGGCAGATCAAGAAACTGGAAAGATTCATCAATGTTAAATCTGTGATTGATGGCTTAGCAAGATAAAGAAAAACCAAATCCTAGCCTTCAATGACTGACAACTCACCTAAGCTCCAATGTTACAAAATATGTTGAACACTAGAGTCGTGAAAAAGACAACAGAAACCAATCCACAGTGGTGGCATCCTTTTCCATGTCTAACACTGGAAGACACCCATGACGTACTCACCATCGGTTACAGTCAACCTCATTGCGATTGTTTCCAAGGTTCCATTGTCCCCTGTGCTGGCCTTGAAGCAGCAGCGGTAGAGTCCTGAGTCAGAGGCCATGACGTGGGGCATGACGATGAAGGAGCTTGTCATGCCCTGACTACAGTTGCTCAGTATCTGTCTTTGGTACTTTGAAGCATAACCTTTTCCTTGGGACAAGTTGCAGCTAGTCAAGAGGTCAATCTGATGGGGCTGGATCTTTTCCCATGTAACTTGCTGTATTGGCCCCTTCTGTGGAAGCTGACAGGTGAGTGTGACGTTTTTCCCAGGTTCTGAGACAATGTGGTTCCTTGATGGCACAGCGATCTCAAAGCTATCTGAAAACAAGAAGCAAATGATTGCACACAGGTCCTCAAATTTGGGGGTGCAAATGTGGGAGCTACCCAGAAAGTTCTATCAAAAGTGTCAGTGATGTTATTTAACACAGTTTCATCAACTGTAAATGACATCTTTACGACACATTTTTGTAAGGAAAACACCTTTGGAAGAGGCGAGCAAATAAACAGAAAAGAGGATATACTTGTTGGCACCTATTCTCTTAAGTTTTACATGGTTAACCATAGAACAAGAACTGTAATCAAAACCCCTGGTGTTTTTCTTGGTAGTGATCTCACCAAGAAGCTGAATTTCACAAGATTGTTCTGTAGTTATGCTGCGCTGGGGACTCAAAGATTATATCCAGATACAATCACTGATATCACTTTAATGGCCATTGAAGAGATAACAAATCATTTTCTTTTGGATAAAGACCCACATAAACTTATCTTTCAGAGACACAGGTTGTTCGAGGCATACATAGAGTAAGGCTCCACATGTGATTTAAATGCCTGGGTTCCAAGTAAGTCCTTCCATATTTTCCCACTTTCCTACCACCATGGCTGAGATACCCAGCAGAGAGCACTCAGTAAGCACCACACAGTTCTGGGCCACTTTCTTGACTTCCAGTTGAAAAAGAAAAGAAAAAAAGAGTAGACAGGGAGGAGAAGAAAGTAGACACCACACTTGAGAGAAGAAGAAATTAAGTCTAAAACACAGTGAGATTGGCAGTCTATATTAAACTAGAACACTGTGTCTGTAATAGTTTCATCTCCGCTAAAAACTAGCTTCTTTTCTTCAACACGTGGTTCCATTGGTCAAAATGTTGTTGAAAAGAGAAAACCACAGCACTCCAGTTTTTCAATTTGTAATCGTACAGCTATTTATCAAAGTTAACACTTTACCCACATAACAAGCACACAGGAAGCATCTTATCTCTAAAATAAAGTCAACAGAAGAACAGGTAAATAAAAAAGAAGGAAAGGGAGAAAATTCATAAGACATGGAGCAAATAAGAAAATAAAAACCTAAAGAAAACAAAGGAGAAACTAAAATAAAATTAAGACAGCGAAAAGAAGATTTAAGAGGAAAAAGTGAGAGAAGATATAAATAAAAGGCTAAGTCAGATACACATACACTGGACTGGGAAACTATAAGGAAATACAAGAAAGGAAAAAAAGACCAAGAAACAAGTGTTAGTGTGAGCCCTGCTGGACCCTCAGAAATCAGTGGCAGCCGAGCCGGGTCCGTCTCCAGGTTTGTCTCCAGCCCCGCACACCTGCTGTCCTGTTATCTTCCAGGGTGGGGCTGCCCTCGCCCACCCGCACACCTCAGGGGCTTGATGGGCCCCTGTAACCAAAAGCTGCCCTCAGGAAGCAACCCCGAGTGATGCCAGCTTGGGTATAAAGGGGCATCTTGTCTGAGGAGTGTCTGCCCTGGTTCAAAGGAGCGCTGCACCTGGCAGTGGGGGCACTCTCCAGTGCCGAGCAGCCGGGCCTCAGGCTCTCAGAGGGAGCTGTCCTCCACGGATCCTGGAAGGTTCTGCAGCCCAGGCTCTGCATAAGGACCCAGACCACCTGTCCATAGACATGCACGGGGCTGAAAGAAGCAGGTCCCCGCTCAGAGGCAGGTGGTTCTGAGGCACAGAGTCGCCCCCGATTAACCTTTCCAGATGAACAGAAATGCTGGATGGTGTCAGATAAAAATCGAGACCCAGAGCAGGTCTGCAGAGCCTGCCTTGTCTCTCATGTTGCTTGCTGCCTGCTCATGTCACCTGATCCTCATGCACAACACATGTAAGGGGACAGGAAATGACCCTGAAACCCCGCCCCCCCCACACACACAAGAGAACCCTGGCAGCCTGATGTGCTTGGGACTGGAAAATGCAGCTCCTTCAAATAGGGATCAATAACTGATAGGGAAGAAAAAGTTTGATCAGAACCCTAAAAATAGAAACAAAAATAATCAACCAGTTGATTTTATATTTTTTCTGTTTCGTGATGTATTAATTCTCAGCATAAAAATAGAATAGACTGTGGTTTTTTTTTAATATATTTTTTAGGGGCGCCTGGGTGTCTCAGCAGGTTAAGCCTCTGCCTTGGGCTCAAGTCACGATCTCAGGGTCCTGGGATCGAGCCCCGTATCGGGCTCTCCACTCGGCAGGGAGCCTGCTTCCCCCACCCCCTCTGCCTGCCTCTCTGCCTACTTGTGATCTCTCCCTCTCTGTCAAATAAATAAATAAAATCTTTTTTAAAAATTATAAAACATTTTTTAAAATATGTTTTAGGAGTAGTCTTAATGTTTACAGCAAAATTGAGAGGAAGGTACAGAGATTTCCCACATACTTCCTCCCTCCCACATACTTCCTCCCTCCCCATTATCGAGGCTCCCCCACAGAGCCTCCCCATTATCGAGATCCCGTATGAAATGATACATTTTATACCAAGTAGGAAACGATCTTGTAACATTATAATCACTCAAAGTCCAGAATTTAGAGTTCACTTCTGCTATTGTACATTCTATGAATTTGGACAAATGTACAAGGACACATAATCACCGTGATGTCATATGAAGCATTCTTGCTGCTCTAGACATCCTCCCTGCTCTGCTTGTGCTCTCCCTCCTCAGCCTTTGGCAACCACTGATCCTCTCACCGCCCCCCCATATTTCTGCCTTTCCCAGAATGTCAGAAGCTAGAATCCCATGGCACGTAGTCCTTTCAAATCGGCTTCTTGCCCTTGGTCATGAGCACTCGAGGTTCCTCCACGTGTTTTCATGGTTTAAGAGCTCGTTTCTTTTGCATGTTGAATAGTCGTCCGTGGTCTGGATGGACCCACACCTACTGAAGGACATCTGAATCGCTTCCAACTTCTGGCAATTACGAGTGACGCTCATTTACAAGCAGGATTTTGTGTGAACACGAGTTTTTCATTCCTCTGGACATATCTCAAGAAGCAGGACTGGTGGACTGTACGGTCAGAACATATTTAATTGTGCAAGAAACTGGCAAACGGCATTCCACAGCAGCGACCCCGTTTTCCAGGCCCACCAGCGACGAACGAGTCCTGCTGTTACTTCGTCCTCATCCGCCCTGGGTGCTCTCAGTGTGCAGAATGTTGTCTGTTCTAATAAATTTGTGTGTTGTTTTTACAGGATTTTATTACAGAATAATATGATGAAATTCTCTGTATTTTGTATATAATTTTTCTGACATGGTAACAGATCATTTTAAAAAATTATCTCCATGCTTCATCAGTGTTTTCCAAGCACTGCTGAATCCCTGGGGACCCCAAACATTCCCAGGTGCACCTGTGCCTCACGCTACTGCCCCAGACCACCAGCACACCCCCAGCCGCAAATCTGTCCTCCTTCACAGAGGACAGCCAGTGGCCCTACGTGCTGTCAGAGCAGCCTTGCGTTATCACTCAACTTCACAAAACCCTGAGTCTACTTCCTAAAAGCTTCATAGGCCCAGGCCTCTGTACAGACCTTTACACACCGCACACCACTCTACTTAGGACCGAGAGCAGTGCGTGGCGTAGAGCAGAGAAGTCAAGTGATGGTTTGTGAATAAAAACTGTATTTGTAATTTCACTTTGCAATGTGTGGTGTGTCCCCACTGATCTGGGGAAGGGGGATATTTTACATCTACAAAACCTCTCATACTGAGAAATGTGTTTGAAATTATATGTGTAATGCCTAAATGAATTAATTGTTCCAGACAATGATCATCCTGTCTGTAAATTCACAAAAAAACAAAAACAAAAACAAACAAAAAAAACAACAAAAACCCATTCATGTCTCCATGAAGCCACCTTGAGAGGAGTAGCCTGGCCAGAATCACCCAGACTGACCTGGCTCGAGCCTCCACGTCTACCTACCAACTGGCAGCCCTACAAAGAGCAGAGAAACATGACCCGTGACACCGGGGCCAACAATCATGGGATACGAAAACACAAAACTCCTCAGCTCCAGATAAGATCTCTCCCCTCCCTGAAAACCAATTTTGGACCCTCTGGTGTTTGTGGGCTAATCCCCCTTTCTTCTTCTCTATTCGTCAAAATTCTGGAAGGAATCCACTGCTCTTGACACTTCCCCACTTCTCACGTGTGCCTCAACGCCCCCAGGAACCACCTCTACCGTTCAACACAGCAAGTCATGCATGTTCTTGAACTTGAGCCCTGGATGCTGCACCCTTCTGGAAACGCCGGCCTTCTGTGACCCGGCATGTGCCTGCCTGTCCTCTCTCCTTTCTCACCTTCCTCCACAGGGGTCTTACCCAGGGGAGTAAGTGTTCCCCCTGGGGTTCCAATGCCCGTCCCCCTGGGCTCACCATCCCCGGGGAATCCCCCCCACACTTGCACTTTCCAAACCTCTCTTACTTGCAGATGTCCAAATCCAAAGCTCCTGCTCTGTCAGACCTCTCCCCAGGGTTTCCAAAGCACAAGACAATAACTCACTCTTATGATGTTTAAAATAGGCTAAAAATTAAACAGCCAGAATTGCCCTGAGCCAACTGCGGGAGCACGACTATTACTCCAGCTAATTAGAAGCGATAAGAGGAGTAGCTTTGCATATTCCCAGCTGTGCCTAGACTATGTAGGGGCTCAACAGAGAACTTTCCTAAAAGGTCTTAAAGTGTCCCATTTAAATGCAAAATAAAATGTCCACCGCATGATGACTAAGGAAGGATTTAAAGGGACCTGAGACAAAGATCTCAAAAATAAGCAGGCCCTTGCCAAGAGAGTACCACCTCAGAGTTTCCATCAAAGAACAAATAAAATTTCATATAGCCATGTATGGTGACAGTTACTAACTAGGCTTACTGAGGTCCTCATTTCTCAATATACACATCAAGTCATTCAGTTGTACACCTGAAACTAGTATCATGTTGTATTTTACCCCAATAATAAATACTTTAAATTTTTAAAATAAAGAAAATGGCAATCACAAGTGGGCAGCAGGGTCCGGGAAGCAGAGAACCGGCCGCAGGGAAGCCCGC